TCCAGAAGTGATTTACATGTTCATAATTTAGTAAGACAGTTTTGTTTGTAAAGTTTTAATGAATGAGATGTAAGATACTGGCAGCTTTGTCTCATTCTACTGCTGTGAGCTCAGCAGAATTAAAGGGACAGAGGTGCAGGGACAGGTATTTCAAGTCACATAAGCATGAGAAATAGTGTCTTACACACATGGTTAGCACTGTTTTCTTTATTATAGCATATGCTTAGCTAAACACATTTTCAGGTTTCAAAGGCACAACTTAAACATGCTACAGAGCTCTGCAGATCCTCCAAAGGTGGAAAAGCTCACACTTTCCTATTCACACCCTTCTTCTCTTGGATCAACCTGATCAGTTAGAGTCAGACAAAACTGCACTACTGTGTTTGGTATTACATTGCTAGTGTTGGTGGTCTTGCTACTTGTTTTCCTTTCTCTATTCAATAACTACTTTTCAACACATCATCTAAAAGCATGTCAATGATTTGAGACAGCATGAAAGAGAGAATACCAGGTTTGTAACATAGCTCTGCCATAACACACTTGGCTGGGTGGGAGAGTGAGGGAGCAAGCACTTGAAGATAATTTTATGAATTTGGTTACTTAAAAATCATATTTTAATTTAATTTCTCTTTAGTCTTTGAAAAATATTTCCTTACAATGTTGTTAATCCCCAACAGGCCTAAGATACACCAAAAGCTGCTGTCAGCTATCTGCTACCTAGGACATGATTGAGCCACACTGAAAATGGATTCAGAGTTTGCTCAGCCATCAGAAAAGTGAACTTCATAAATGCTCAACATATTTATCTCTGTATAAACTAATGATCAAATAATTTTAAAGCAGCACAGGCTGATCTATAGTAAAGCTCCTCTAATGGTAACATAACAGACTGATTCTAATCTTACTTGAACTGATTACTACCCTTAAATGAAATTAATATGCCCAACACAAGTTCAGTAAGAGAAAAGATTTAAGCCTAATCCACAACTACCTTCCAGCACTAATGCTTCTAGCACCAAAAGAGCTGCCAAATCAGCTCGCTTATCACTGTTCCACTGTCAGCATTCTTCTGTTCCTTCAGCAAAAGTGAGCTGATTTCCAAGACATACCCTTCTCTACTTGTCATAAACCTGTCTTGGAAAACAAAGCAGAATTTTTACAAACTCCTCAAATTCAGCTCAATGAGGAAAACTGCCTCAAAAATACTGACTCCAGTTTCTACTGGAATGGCAGGTGAAGTGTTGTATCACAGGATGAGTGGATATGAACAGATACGAGTGACAAGCAGATGTTTTCCCGAGAAAAAGGAGATGCACAAACAAGGGAATGCACCTTGTCTATCCAGAGATTCCTGTGGAAAGTTTAGTGGGTTATTTTACACATCTATACAAAGACAGAAGGTCTCCTGGGATCTCTCTCATCGTAAACCTGTTAATCCCACTTCAAGCAGTGCCTGCCAAGAACAGTCTCCCCTGAAACTATTACTTATGACAAAATCAGGCAACATGCATTACTTGATGTGCATTGCAGATTTTAAAACCCATCCCGTTTGCTGTAAAAACAGATTTGCTTTTTGGTATTTTAGAACCAAACACATCACCATGGTTTTGCAACAAGGACAACAATAAATAACTAGCGAAATTGTAGTCCAAAGATCTAAAAAGGCTTTAAAACCCTATCTCAGGAACTCAAACCCAATTCCTATTTTTCTGTGGTAGCAGATAATGGCGAGCAAGCACTGATGAAACACCTGCTTTCAAAGAGTTAGCAGAGTATTTCACTATTGCAGATTTAAGGAGGTGAAGGTAGGAGGGGAGCCCCCTCCACCTGCTTTTGTGAAATAAGAACCAAGTACATCTCAAAGCTGGTACAGTGGCAATAACAAACAGAACTACAGGGCAGTCATCAGGAAAACTATCAAAGATGACTACTTTGAGTACTGAAACCACAGGTAATTCAGAGACCAAATAACCCTTGGCAATCATTTGCATTTGAAATAGTGATTTAGGTGGAAAGACTTTATGAGGATTAGAGAACAGTTTATAATACCTAATTTATTCTCTCTCTCTCTCTCTCTCTCTAGATATATATATATATATATATATTTAATTCCTATAGGAATCTTACTTTCTTTTCCACAAATTCTTCCCACTGATTTTCAGAAATAAATCTGAAAACATTTTCAGGTTCTCTAGCCACATCCATACTTAACATTTCAGTTAGGTACTTTCTGGCTATTCCTTAACAATTGCATTAGATATCACTGTCGCATCTGTTCTGTGATTGTATGAATCACCTAGAATCTGACTTAGAAGCAAATAAATAAAATCAGCTTCACAGCCAAACTTGTGAGCTGTGCTTCTAAAGCTATTTTAGCTGATATTTCTGTTGCCTTATTTGTGGCTGTCCATATGTAAACTCTTGTACCATCTGCTCTTCTGAAGAACAAGTTCAGAGATGTAACCTGGCAGAAGACCATTCTTTTGAGCATGAAGAATGAGGCAAAGCTCAGTTCTGGAGGGAATGGCAAACTTGACAGCCATTGACCTAAACTATTACAGAAACGATCCTGAATTTAAAAGAATGGGCAGTAAATATGGTGTTCTAGGTTCAGCTGTAACAGTTATGGATATAACATATCGTAACATATGGATAAGGCACAATTCAGTTTCAGGAAACCATACTGTAATCACTGATGAAATTAATGAAATCTTGCATCCATTTCCACTATCTTTCTCTACACATAATACTGTAACTTCTATGTGCTATGTATGATTGTTCTTTAAAGTTCAGGGACACCCTACACTCTGACAACCAGTTACCTAATTCTTCGTCATTAAATTCAGACTACAATATCGCAGAACTGAATATGCAGAGCAGCCACTGCATCTGTACAGGAAATACAGTAGACCTGATCACCTTTGCCTTTATAATTATCAATAACCATTAACACCTCCTGTATCTCTAGCAAGTATTACAAGCTGAACACTGAGAATTGGCAGGAAGGAAAAAAGACTCCAAGACTGGAGATGAAAGAAGACTGAACAATGAAAGAAAAAAGTGGGAGCAGAAGGAGAATCGCTCCAAAATAAAGCTGATCAACAGAAAAAAAACATATCTCAAGATAGAGATCTTAAGGGTCACCACAGAAGAGGGGGATGTAGTTACTGGAAAAAGAAATCAGCTTGGGCTACATAGTTTATGTTTTCTAGTTTGCCTCAAAGCATACAATATAGGTCTTGATGTACTAAACAGTGAAATAAAAGATGTGACACATTACTTTAAATCAGTATTTAATTGCCAGAAGTGTACTCCAGAAAGCAAATGAAATTTCATAGAGGATCTTGTGTGCCCCCCCCCCACCTTTTTTTGTTTTAGTTTAGTCCAAATTATTGTCTTGCACTTGGTGTATCAGCTCCTCTGAAAAATCCTTTTAACAAAAGCAAAAGAAAAGAAAGAATGGCAATTTAATTTTAGACCATTCCAGATTGATTTCTAGTCCATGCTCAGATGTCTGGAATTCAGCCAGAATAAAAATTGTATTTTAGAGAAAATGAACTAACACAGCCCATGAACAGTTTATTATCCTGAAGTTTAGCTGTTATAAATATTCCAAAATGTTAAAACTCCTGCTCAAGGGTTGGCTTAGCTTCATGTTTGTGATGGGAGTCTTGACCTACTCTCCATTTGACGAAACCAGAAAATGCTAAGGAGAATAGAAGAAGCAGCTGTCCTAATATGACATTTCTTTCAGGCTTATAACCAATTTTACTCCAAGAAAGACCAAATACAGTTGATACAGAAAGACCAGAGGGCGTTTTCACTTTGCCTACTATACTCCCCTGTGAGTCCGGTAAGGCTACATATGCTTGGCAGCGTATGTGCTTGAGAACTTTATTGGATTAGGTCCTGTGTCCACAATTTTAGAGCTGTGAGAAAATTGCCAGGAAAAAGCATAAATGAGTTCTGGCACAATGGATTGTGAACACAAGAATGAAGAGGCTCCCCATCATACACAAACCACCTTCCACGGCACAAAAATAAACTAGCATTTCAGCACTGGTCCATTAGTTAACAGAACTCAGAATAACTTTAAAATTCCACTTAATAAGGCACAGCACACAATTTAAATAAATCCTTATAACATTCTGGGCTCTTTTCTCAGTGCTGCTATTTATTGAGGGTCCGAATGTGCTTCAGCTACTGTGCCTGAAGAGTCACACAGCAGCATAAGCTCATGTAAGCAGTTGTGGCTTCCCCATTCCCTTCTTCCTTGAACCAGTACTCATGCTCCTGCAATGACATGGTCAATGATTCAGGAAGCTGACTGAGTCAAAAGCTAGGACACAATTTCACGTTATACTTAATCATACTTAATTTCATATATTGATGGGCCTGCTGCCAAAATGGTTAGTCTCGTTCTCCTTCATGTATTGCGATGCTCATACCAACCTCCTCCACTGCAAAACCTTTCCTTTTAATGGTCTAACTGTAAGACTAAGGTTAAAGAAAAAGCAGCTTTAACCCCATTTGGGGCAAGGTTTCAATCAGTTCAGCTCCCTAAAACTGCCTTAGCACCTAGTCATATAAAAAGTAGTACTGGCACCAGAAAGTGAAGAAACACTTTGGTGGCTGGGGAGAAGATAAAACTGTGGCAGCTCTTCTGATTTAGGCCACAACTCATTTGTATACAACCAATCTAGTTTTAAGTTAGCTAACCTAGGTACTGGCAGCAGCATAGCTATGCACAACTTATCTTTCCAGGCACATTTTGCAATGTGCACTGAGGAACAGTTGCAGTGAGTGTTTGCTTAATGGTGCTGACAGTGCAGGCCAGATGAAAGCATACACATGTCTTTAATCATGCTTTTCACAGTTAAAAACTTTGCTGGATTATGACTACAGGAGAGAGGACTAAAACCCATGTGATGTGGAACGTGTACTGTATTTTCTATTTTCCTCATTTTCTACTGTGCTGTTTTTCAATCCTCTGTTCTTACCTTACTGCTTTTTCCTCTTTCCCACCAGCAATGACAGCAGTTCCCAATCTCAAAGTGGCAAGTTGTTAGCACTCGCACGCATGAAAAATAATCCAGTATCTGCTGGAATGTTAAACACACAAAAATAAAGCCCTAAAAGAACAAAATTTTCTCAATAAGCAGAGCCACGGGAGAATTCTAAGTACATACAATCTTGGTATTTTTAACTCCTAATGTTCACCTTAAGGTTTTCTTTAATAGGACCAGAGCTCACATCAGAAATCCAAGTTACAACATTTTGCTAAGGCTACTTTCCAGAAACCAAGCTTTTCTTCTAGTTTTTAAAACAGTATTCTCTAGGGTGCCAATACATAACTGGATGATTGCACAGCGCTACAAAGCACATCACTCTGTCCATGACACTCAGGACACTGAAGACAGATATCTAAGATCCAAAATGTACTACAAAATAATCAGATCCAATTCATTATTAACATGAAGACAAATAAATCAAGAGTTCAAATGTGGTTAAGTAGTATCTTACTTGCTATCTTACTGGATAGGCACTACACATTGAGCTGAAAAGTAACCTGGCCTAAATGGAGTCATAATTTTAGGAAATGAGCAAGCTAAGGAACTGCAGGGTTTCTGCTGTGGTTCACCTTGCTCTGAGAGGCAGCATGAGCTGTAAATAACATGCCATCAATAAAAGCAAATGTGTCCTCACTAAGTGGCACAGTACATTTGTTTTGAGGGTAGCACAAAAGGAGAGAAACCTAGTTGTAACACCACTCCAGGTATAACATCCCATGCTGCTACACATCTTGGAACATCTCTCTGGTTTTCTCCCCGAAATAGAGACAAACTTTGAAAGTCTGTGTTAGGAAATACAAGCTATTTTTTGCATCCACTGTATCTTACAAAAGACCTAAACTTGATTAGCCTCATGCACTGGCTGAAGTATGGGTATAGATTTACTTATGCAGTAACACGGTGGTAAGACAAACCACACCAAACAATTCTTTAACAAAGTCATCCAACCACCCTCAATGTGGTGAACTTGAATCAGTTCTTGAAGCCTAACTTGTTGAATTTTGTTATTGTAACTGATGTGCCCCTTGATCACAAAACATCAGAAGACCTGCATCCATTTGACCTACAGTCAAATGTATAGTTATTAACTCCTAAATTTTAATTCTCCACTGAGGTTGGAAATATGACACATTCATAGAATCACAGATTGGTTTGGGTTAGAAGGCATCTTAAAGCTCATATAGTTCCAATGCGTGTACCATGGGCAGGGTCACATTCCGTTAGACCAAGTTGCTAATTCAAGCATTATGGACAACATGTGCTGTACCTCACAGCCACAGGCAATGAGAACCAAGTAAAGAACCAAAGAGTTTGTGACAGGCCACCAGCTACAATAGTTGTGACAGCACATAGAGGTAGGGCCCCAAAAGACACTCTTATTTAAAGCAGAATATCGTCTTCTGTGAATTAGACATACCTTGACACTGGGGAATTGTGTCCCCAAGCATTCAAAAAACTGTGGAAGAGCTCTTAACACTACTGAATACAAATAGAAATTAAGAGGTTTTACTGTCCATTTCAAGTGACCAGTTTTAAGAACTACAGCCAACATGACTGAAACGGTTACTGCTCCAGCATAGCAAAGTGAGAAGAACTTGTGAGACTACTGGTATTTAGGGTTCAAGCCACTTCTGAAACCTGTCAGCCCTAGCATCACAGTATCACCTACCTGTACAAACATGGACATCACACTGCCTCTATAGAAAAGCTCTGGGCTGTACAACCTTGATGGTGCAGTAACATTTTGAATATTTTATTCTAATAATTAAGAGGAAAAAATTGCTGATAAAAACTCTGGAAACATTTCAGTACTATTCACAATATTATTTAACTAAGACAATATGCTCTGGCATTATATATTATCCATATGAGCAAAATGCCCATTCCTTGACAATACAAAGCTCTAGTGGCAATGCTCCGAAGTGGCTAATAATGGCACTGATAATTTCCACAAAATGACCTGGAAAACCTATTTGCAATTCCAGTAACACTCTCCAACAAAGAGCATGTGGGAATGTGCTCCCTCATTTTAGGCGTGTCAGCAGTTCTTTAAAAGACAGTCAATGTTTCCATTGAAATCCCTTATTTTTCAAGAGGTTGCAGAGTCACCCTCAGGGAGAAAGAACTGATATTAGCAGTTTCAGGTGCTTTCATGCAATTTGGTATCTCAAAAACAGTTCTTTTCTCTAAAGAAAGTTTAAGCCATTAGCTCATAATATGGATGTCTGCCTTCTGGAACTGGGAGGGGAGAAAGGGGCGCAAGACACTAAAATTACTGCTAAAAGAAGATACTTTGGAAAATAACCTCTAACACCTCCACAATGTCTTTTTTCTTTTTTTTTTTTTTCCAGCAAACAGTTCTAAAGACCTAGAGCTAATCTCCCTTTGGTGGCCAATGTTGACAAGCTATAAAGTGAGTCTTGGCATTTTGTGTAACCTGGAAAAAAGACCTGGAAAACCATTTTACAGCCTCATCCTGGATTTAACTAATACTCATCTGATATACCAAGCACTTATATTAGTATTAACTTTAAGATTCTGAGAAAGTTAGTGAAACAGTTTGAGGACAGAAGTAACCTTTATGATGTGTAATCTGACTTTAATATAAAACTTCAGCCATCCAATTCCATCCCCAAGTTTCTGCATCAGAAAAGCTCCATGGAGCACTCAATGAGTTTTGGGGATTCCCTAAAGCTCACAGTACTGGTTTTCAGCAGTAGAAGAGGTTTTAAATTGGAGTGCTTGGCTCTGGTTTGTGCTATTGAACACCTTCATTTTAATTACCTCTTTACATGAATAGGGACATTAAAAGCTAAAATTCTCCTCTGCCTGCCAACCTTGTTGTCCAGGGCTTTGAACAACTGACCAGGAACTGATAATATACCTGGCAGCCATTAAATCCTCCTGGATTTTCAGGACTTGGAATGATGAGAGGGCATTCAAATAGTGTTTTGATGAGTTTCTCTATCCTTTTATTCTTTTTTCTCAAAGACTGCCAGGAGCATACAGGAGCCATTAACATCTAACACAAATGCACATAAAGAATAAATAGTGGAAAGTAAATTTCATACACACTCTTCCATAATGTCAACAAAGCAGCACAGATATCTGTGCCCTATCTCATTAACCAACAAAGATCGGACAAAAGAAGTAAAGCCAGGAGTAATACACTAATCCAAACAACATATGAAATTCAAAGTTATCCATCTTCTGGACAAAATGGTCATTTCCCCATTAAAGAAAAAACTAGGTATAAAAAGTTTATTTACAAGTCAGACAGTGTATAAAGTCAGTAAAGTATTAGGTGGAAAGCAGATTCCTTGAGAAACAAGCTTTACTGACTGTTCAATGGAAAGGTTTTGCCACAACAACAGCCAGCGGTTCACATCTACCAGAAACAAAGAACTGGGTGTATTTGCAGTGGTCACTTTAGATGTCAACACTTCTTATGATGGAGGAAATAACTGGTGTGAGAAAACAAAAGCAATATAAGAAATCTTACAAACACCAGCAAGGAAAACAGCATCAACCTTCCCCAGCACAGACGAAAAGTAGCAGCAACTAACAGAAAAGTCAGACTACTTTCTGTTCTGCCTATATTTACTAGAAGAGGATGAGCAAGTGAATGAATTCCAGTGACAGACAGTCATCTACTTATCTTAAGTCAATAGTTATGCAAAACAACTGCCAAGGAAATATGAGGAACAACATTTGGTCACATAAAAAGCTTTAAAATTATCTTTTTTTTTAAGTATTATTTGCATTGTGCTATAATTCCCCTTTCTTGCACGCAAAACCTACTCAGCATTTGTAACAACAGGTTTAACTTTGATTTTCAGTTTGTTCCATATTTAGCATGCCACTTCTACGTGCTTCTCATCTTCTAGTATCCATCAGCAGTTTCATTTTCAGGACTTGATAAGAATAAGGAAAGGCTTCTTCATCGATTCCAAAACTTTGGATATGGTCATGAGTATGTCATTATACACTGCATTGCATTTTACTGCTCTGCTAACTGCAACAATAGCAATCTTTTGCTAATAATTTTGAGTGTCTTCTCAGATCATAAAATTGCTCTAAACAAACCATGTTTTTCCATTAAAGCCACTGAAGTTGAGGGCTCCCCCTACCATGACTTGTTCATTTCATACCTTTTTTCTGTGATCTCATAGCAATTTCTGAGACAACCCATGAAACAAACTGGAATTAGTCAGACTTTCTTTGACCTTTGAAGGAAACATTTTGCAAAACACCACCACAACCACTGGCATGGGGCAAACAGAAGAGGCCGATCTCTCCACCTACTGCAGTGGATAATACACATTGTGATATACTTGAATCTGCAAATACGAGAACATAAGTAAGACTTTCTACATTCCCACATGTTATATTACATTTCACAGGAGAGGTATGTACAAACTCCCGCTAAAAGAGAAACTGCACTTCATTTGGTATTGACTTAATGAAGGAATTCTCACATTAATCTCTTAAGCTGTACTGCTCTTTAGAAAAACAGACTCTGTGGAAAAGAAAACCTCCATAAATCTCTTAGCTCTCCCCAGAAAAATAGGCTTTTTGTAGCCCAGTGATTTTCTTTGCACCTTTTCTTGTGGAAACAATTAGCTTAGCAATTTTAAAGTATTAGGTGGGCCCAGCTGCAGGCTCCTGGTATCTTTCCTATTACATAGCAATGTTGAGACAGAAAGAAACAAGGATCTAGTCTCACAGTGCTACAATACATCAGTGGGAATTACAGAACTGAGCTACTAATAAGGTTATGTCCTGAAGGAGCTTTCACTTACCTGAAGCCATCACAGGTTTCCCCATTTTTGATGGATTCTTTCCTAATTCAAGACTTTTCGTTAGCTCAAGAACAAAATATTGTGCTGCAACTCTCTCATAAAAATGCTTGAAACTGAACTCAAATTGTACAAGGTACATTTACTCCTTCAAAAGAGCCCCATTAATTGGTCCTTCAATGATTTTCAAACAATAAGCCTAAAGTCAGACCTGTTATTCTTATGAGTGGTCTTACGGTCATGAGCGTAGTAACCAGACCT